TTGGTGACAGAAATAATGCTGGAGATTGCATGAAAGAATTTTGCAAGACCAATGACTTATTCATTGCAAATACCTTTTTTTTTCAAGAACACAAATGGCAGCTATACATGTGGACTTTGCCAGGTGGAATGCACAGGAATCAGATTGACTACATCTTTGGCAGGAAGCAATGGAAAAGCTCAACATCTTCAGCCAAAACAAGCCGGGAGCTGATTGTGGAACAGACCATCAACTGCTCACATGCAAGTTCAACTTGAAGTTGAAGAAAATTAAAACAAGTCCATGAGAGCCAAAATATGACCTTGAATATATCCCTTCTGAATTTAGGGACCTTCTAAAGAATAGATTTCATACATTCAACACCGATGACCAAAAACCAGAATTGTGGGATGACATTAAGAGCATCGTCCATGAGGAAAGCAAGAGGTCATTTAAAAGATGAGAAAGAAAGAAAAGACCAAAATGGATGTCAGAATAGATTCTGTAAATTGTTCTTGAATGAAGAGTAGCTAAAGAAAAAGGAAGAAGCAACAAGATAAAAGAGCTGAACAAAAGATTTCAAAGAGCAGCTTGAGCAGATAAAGCCATTTACCATAATGAAATGTGCAAAGACCTGGAATTAGAAAACCAAAAGGGAAGAACACACTCAGCATTTCTCAAGCTGAAAGAACAGGGGAAAAAATTTAAGCTTCGAGTTGCAATACTGGAAGATTCTATGGGCAAAATATTGAATGATGCAGGAAGCATCAAAAGAAGATGGAAGAGATACACAGAGTCACTGTCCTGAAAAGACCTGGTTGATGTCCATCCATTTCAGGATTTGGTATATGATCAAGAACCAATGGTATTGAAGGAAGAAGTCCAAGCTGCACTGAAGAAATTGGCAAAGAACAAGCCTCCAGGAATTGATGGAATACCCATTGAGGTGTTTCAACAAATGGATGCCCCACTGGAGGCACTCATTAGGCTATGCCAGGAGATTTAGAAGACAACTAACCTGGTCAATTGACTGGAAAAGATCCATATTTGTACCCATTCCAAAGAGAGGTGATCCCACAGAATGGGAAATTTATCAAACAATATAATTAATATTGTATGCAAGTAAAATCTTACTGAAGATATTTCAAAAATGGTTGTAGCAGTATATTGACAGAACTTCCAGAAATGCAAGCTGGATTCAGAAGAGGATGTGAATATCATTGCTGATGTCAGATGGATCTTGGCTCAAAGCAAATAATACCAGAAAGATGTTTACTTGTGTTTTATTGACTATGCAAAAGCATTAGATTGTGTGGATCATAACAAATTGTGGATAATATTGAGAAGAATGGGAATTCTAGAACACTTAATTGTACTCATGAGGAACTTGTACATAGACCAGGAGGCTGTCATTCAAACAGAACAAGGGGACAGTGCATGGTTTAAAATCAAGAAGAGGGTGTGTCAGGGTTGTATCCTTTCCCCATACTTATTTAATCTATATGCTGAGCAAGTGATGCAAGAAGCTGGGCTATATGAAGAAGAATGTGGCACCAGGATTGGAGGAAGAATCATTAACAACCTGCTCAACGTTGATGACACAACTCTGCTTGCTGAAAGTGAGGATGACTTGAACACTTACTGATGAAAATTGAAAAACATGGTCTACAGTATGGATTACATCTCAATATAAAGAAAACAAAAATCCTCACAACTGGACCAATAAGCAGCATCACGATAAACAGAGAAAAGATTGAAGTTGTCAAAGACTTCACATTGCTTGGTTCTACAATTGATGCCAGTGGAAGCAGCAGTCAAGACGTCAGAGGATGTGGGCAAACTGGCTTCAAAGGATCTTTTTCAAGTGCTAAAGAGCAAAGATGTCTACTTGAGGACTAAGGTACGCCCAACACAAGCCATGGTATTTTCAATCACCTCATATTCATGTGAGAGCTGGACAATGAATAAGGAAGACTGAAGAGTCAAATGCTTTTGAGTTGTTGTGTTGGCGAAGAATGCTGAAAGTACTATGGACTGCTAAGAGAAATAACAAATATGTCCTGCAGGAAGTGCAGCCAGAATGCTCCTTGGAAGCGAGAATGGCCAGACTTCATCTCACGTACTTTGGTCATGTTGTCAGAAGAGACTGTGCTCTGGAGAAGGATGTCATGCTTGGTAAGGTGGAAGACCTGTCAATGAGATGGATTGACACAGTGACAGTGGCTATGGGTTCAAGTAGAGCAAGGATTGTGGAGCTGGCACAGGACTGGGCAATATTTTGTTCTGCTGTGCATAGGGTCACTATGAGTCAGAGATGACTTGACAGCATGTAACAACAACATGTTTTGCTGTGCATATTTTCAACCATAACAAAATAAATACAATTTAGGAAAATTAAAAATGGCCAACTTTTAATCTTTTTTATTACTACTTTAAATTCTCTGCAGATGTTTCATCCTTTATTTCCTGGTCTGGCCCTGTGGAAGGCACAGCTTGTCTTCTCTGGGACATGTAACCACCACGTCAGGCTATAGCATTCCTTGATCCCCTGGGTCAGAGTTAAGGAATTCAGTGCCCTTTGGTAAGTATCCTTCATTTACTGAGAGAAAGGCTGTAACATCTCTGTGTCCAGCCCACTTCCTCCTGTGCCTGTCCCTGCCAGCAGGTCTGCCCTCAGGTCCCCATCATCTGTTACAAAGTTCATAATGCCAACATTCCTTCCCCACAGGGGACCACAGGATCTACAGGGAGAGTTCAATGTATTTCCCTGAATTGACACACAGCTAATCAGGGAGGAGGCTGACTGAATGTGTGTTCATCCCTGTGTGTGCATCCATTCCTTTGTTGCATTGCTATTTCAGGGAACAGAAAGGGCAAGTTCAGATACCTGAATAATCTGCAAATCTGTCAATCTGTTACAAGAGATCTGAGAGGGTAAACTGTCCCATATGTGAGACCCCAGTGGTCCATCCCCAGCACAGTGTGAAATAAACTTCTTATGTGATTTAAAGAGAAAGAACAGAGTACTCACTGAGACTCCAGAGTGTCAGCAGATGGGTTGGAACTAGTGTGCAGGGCATATGACCACATTGTTAAATGTGTCCTTTAAAACACTTGAAACAGATTCCATCCAAAGATGTGTCAACATTAGGTCTTCCAGGCTCCCATGCTGGGGAGTGCTCAATACCACACTCCTTGAAGAGGTCTAAGTAAAACGTGGAATTGTTGTCCAGGAGGGAACTTGAAGAGAAAATGTTTGGAATCTCCTCAAAGCATGGTTTCTAAAACATTCTAAATTTTTTGTCAAACTCAGTGAAATCCCACTCTTCTGGTAAGACCTCCTTCTTCCACTAAGCTTTTGAGCTTTGTCTCACATTTGTCAGGGCTCTCCAGCAATTTCCATCATAAAGCATTCCTCAGCAGGTAGAAGAGGACCAGGTAAATTAGCCCAACCATGCCAGGCAGGGAGTGGCTGAAGGACCAAAGGACAAAGTGGAAGATAGTGAGGACAAGAGGAGGAGTCCATAAATAGTAAAAAGACTGTACTGTATTGTGACACTCAGTGGATCAGTTGGGGGATAGGGATTGCCTCTGTGAGGCTTAGATGATGGTATGGTCACTTCTGCACTACAGTGAGGACTCAGCAGTGACCTCAGCCCACTCTCATTGTCTTCTGGGTTTCTCCTCAGTTCCAGAGGAGAGTGTGATTTCACTGCTCCTGATGTTAGAACAGAGGCATCAGAGACTCTCTCCCCACCTCCTACTTGCAGATGAAGAAAATAAGAGTCACTTCTGGGTCACCCAGGTGAACCAGACTGATGAGACAACCCAAAACCCCAACCCAGGGCAGGGCAGCCCATTCTGCACTGCATCTCTGAGTCCCAGCTGCAGGCTGGGCTCCAGGTGCCCTGACATCACCTGCTTATGAAGTCACATGCATCAGCTCCTTCCCTATCTCACTTCCTTGTCACACTTCAATGACTTACCCCAAATTCGTGTCTCAGGGTCTACTTCTGGGGCTGCCCAAACAAAGATGGCCTGGATGAACGAATCTTGTCTGTGACTGTAGGAGAAATCCTGTGATTTTCAGGTGCTGATGCATTGCCATGCAGTAGGAGCCCATGTACCACACTGACTCTCACTCACTGCCCAAACCCAGCTCTGTTGGTTACCATGCTCCACAAAGGAACTCTGAGGCAAAGGAGGGGATGTGAGAGCTCAGGGCTATGAGGGTAGGGACATTTTAGGGTTTTTTTCTTTCTGATTCTTTTGTTTAGTCCTCCACCTCATGATGTAATAATCTGCACTGTAAAAACCATGAAAACCACTGACTTTCCCCAAGTTTGGCTTTATGCTCTTGAAGAGCTTGGCATTGTGTTAGACTCTGAGACATTCCCACGGCCCAGTCCTATTTAAAGACTGGCTGTCTATTTCGAGTTCATGACTGGGGGAATAAAAGAAAAGGCTCCCAAATCTAACAGGAGAACATGAGGTAGGCAGAAGGAAAACCCAGTTTGCTTCTAAAAAAAGGCTGAACAGATTCATGTCTCAAGTCTCACAGTTGTCTTTTCTCTTTCTGATTTTGCTAACCAAAATGGACTTTTATTATGGGTTACAAAGTGAGCTCTCTCTAGTTCTGAGCCCCTGAATGTCCTTACTTCCTCAATAACATACCATTTAAGTTTCACATGCAGATGGGAAAGAGAACTAAGCCAAAAGGAGCTGTAAACTTCTGCCTGCTAAGCAATGTTTCCACAGACCTTGCTGGGGACTGAGCAAGCTGCCTTCCTCCTTTTATGAACAACAAAACCGTGATGAAGGCAACAGGAGTCAGAAAACTATTCATTCCAGGAAGCCCTCATATCCGTTGAGAAGTAAGAAGTACAACAGTCACAGGATGCGCCTTGGGTCAGGGGGACGTGACGAGCCCGCAGCCTTTGTGTCCTTCTCTGCCCCAGAAAGGCTGTGGCCAAGCCCATAACTCCCGCCTGAGCACAGCTGGGAGCCCAGATAGCGACCAAATGGCTAACTCCACTGGCATGTCTTTACTTCTGCTGCTGCTGCTGCTTCTGGACTGGCCTGGGGCTAAGTCCCAGACCGAGGCCGTGGCCGACGCCGTGGTATGTTCGGGGGCTGCCTGCTACACTGCCCACTGGGGCAAGCTGAGTGCGGAAGAGGCCCAGCTCAACTGCAGCACCAATGGGGGCAACCTGGCCACAGTGAAGAACCCTGAGGAGGCCAGCTGCATCCAGGAGGCCTTACTCCAACTTATACAGCCTGATGCGCCACTGACTCCACGCAGCCGCAAGTTCTGGATTGGGTTGCAGCGGGAAAAGGGCAAGTGCCTGGACTCCAGCCTGCCGCTGAAGGGCTTCAGCTGGGTGGGCGGTGGGGGAAACACGTCCTATGCCAATTGGCATAAGGAGGTCAAGAACACATGCATCTCCAAGCGCTGTGTGTCCCTGCTGCTTGACCTGTCCTCGATGACCCTCCCTAAGTGGTCTGAGGGCCCCTGTGGGAGCCCTGGCTCCCCAGGAAGCAGCATCGAGGGCTTCGTGTGCAAGTTTAGTTTCAAAGGCATGTGCCGGCCTCTATCCCTGGGGGGTCCAGGCCAGGTTACCTACACCACCCCCTTTGGGGCCACTAGCTCCTCCCTAGAGGCAGTGCCCTTTGCCTCAATGGCTGCTGTGGCATGTGGGGAAGAGGGCAAAGAGGGGAGCCATTATTTCCTGTGCAAGCAGAAAGGAGCCGACGTGTTTGACTGGGGTATCTCAGGACCGCTTTGCATCAGCTCCAAGCTTGGCTGTGGCTTCAACAAAGGGGGCTGCCAGCAAGACTGCCTTGAGGGGGGTGATGGTTCCTTCCGCTGTGGCTGCTGGCCAGGGTTCCGGCTGCTGGATGACCTGGTGACCTGTGCCTCCCGAAACCCCTGCAGCTCCAACCCCTGCAAAGGGGTGGCCACATGTCAGCCTGGGCCCCTTGGGGAAAGTTATAGGTGTCGCTGTCCCCCAGGCTACCAGCTGGACCTGAGTGAGCTTGACTGCAGTGATGTGGATGAGTGCCAAGCCACTCCATGTGCACAGGAGTGCATCAACACTCCTGGGAGCTTCCACTGTGCCTGCTGGGTGGGCTATGAGCCTAGAGAGGGGACCTGTTGGGACTTGGATGAGTGTGCCCTAGACCGAAACACCTGTGCCCAGGTCTGCACAAACACTGATGGTTCTTTCCATTGCTCCTGTGAGGAGGGCTACATGGTGGCTGGTGAGGATGGCACCCAGTGCCAGGACATGGATGAGTGCACAGGCCCCGGGGGTGGCCCCTGTGGGGGTCTTTGCTTCAATACGCCAGGCTCCTTCCACTGTGGCTGTCTGCCAGGCTGGGAGCTCTCCCCGAGTGGAATCTCTTGCACCCTCAGCCGTACGTCCCCTGGGCCACCATTGGGGGTACCTATACCCCAAGGAGAGGACCAGGGGAGCACCACTCCTTCTGTAACATCTAGCCCTCCCAGGGGCCCTGAGACCATCTCCAAGGAGGTATACACCATTGGGAGATCCTACCCATCCTCCAGCACCCTCATCACCCATCCCTCACCTGAGATCCTGACCTCCAGTGTGCCCCCCAGCTTCAGGGTGGAGCCCAGCACCAGCCACTCCATAGCTGCTGCTGGCCATGGTGAGTCTGCAGGTGGAGATTCCATGGCCAAACAAAGTGAAGACAGTACTGATGGGCAGAAACTGCTTTTGTTCTACATCCTGGGCACTGTAGTGGCCATCTTACTACTACTGGCTCTAGCCTTAGGGCTACTGGTCTATCGCAAGCGGAAAGCGAAGAGGGCAGAGAAGAGGGAGAAAAAAACCCCAAATGCAGCTGACAGTTACTCTTGGGTCCCTGAACGAGCTGAAAGCAGGGCCACGGAGAATCAGTACAGGTAAGAGCCCTGAAAGAAGGTTAGGGGTCCCATAGGTGAGGAGGAGGTGGGAGGTGAGTGGGCAGTCTGAACCCATCAGAGGTCCAGGACCAACAGCATCATCTACACTGGATATTAAAAAGTAAATGCTCACTAGTCAGCCTGGAGGCACTTGTGAGCATCAGGTGAGGACTCACCTTGAACAGATACTAGTAGACTTCTCTGTGTGGGTCTATATGTACATAAGGCAAGAAGTCAGGGACTTCCAATCTGTCATTTTTTGTTTTCCGTAGTCCAACGCCTGGGACAGACTGTTGATGGGAGGTGACCCCAGACCCTTTCAATTTCAGATGACTGCCACCATCTTCAGATCCTGAAACACCTGGCCAAAGCAGGGACCTCATCCTTCCCAAAAATGGACTGGAGTTTTAGCAAATAGTTGTAAACCTTCTCCTTAAAAAACTGTCAGCTTGGGAATTTGCAGGCATTTTCTTTGTGTGTATAATATTCCTAAAGTAGAAGCTATGAGGTGGGCTGTCATTTCGGAAATTGTATGACTATTAACAATACTCACTCATGCTCCCTTTTTAAATTCAAATGTGACTGATTTCACTTTTCACAATGATTCTAGATCAAGGGATCATAAGTCCTAGTGCTAATGGGGCTCCCTTTCTGCTGCAACTCTGTTCACCTTCATCTTCTGAAGAAAAGGCAGATGGCTAGTTAGGATTGAAATGGCATGTTCCTCTTAGTAGAAGAGAAACTAGGTCAGGTAACTAATTATATTAGATTTTTTTTTTTTTTTTGGTCCAAGGGAAAATCTTCAGGACTGGAAAATTTTCTTTGCATTTACATTCCTGAATTTTTCCATCCAAAGTTCTGAGTTCTGTCTTTTTGAAACCCTAAAAAATGATCTGAAGTATAATCAACTGCTCAGGTAGAAAGAAGGCAGGGAGTGTAGAAATCACATTTCCTACTTTTTAAGTTTCTAATAGTCTGGGTTTTTTTTGCAAGTGTATATTTGAGAAAAAAAAAAAGGAAATGTTGTTTGAAGTGACTTAAATGTATTTTTAGAAATTTAATCTAAAGGCTAGAGAGAGGAGGCAGGTGTTTGTTCCACAAACCTATGAATGCTGTGATGTTAATGTACATATAGGCACTGGTGATATGAACACTAAGAAGAAACAAATCCAAAGATAGCTTGTCTCTGAGCCGGCGTGGACATCAAGACACCACCAAGGCTTCCCATCCTAACTCCACACCACTCTGAATCCAAATACTTTCATTCTGATTGTTTCCTAAAGATGAGTTGCAGGTATGATGTGCTGTGTTTTGGTAGCCATCAGTATATAGCACTTCCGCCAAATTTATAGTCAATATTGCATCATAAGAATGTTGAACCCCTGATTTAGGGATATCGGACTTCACAGATTTAGGGATTGGTCATGTGGAATGCCATTACAGCATCGCTTAAGGAGTTTTTGTCCTTTTATTTCAAAGAAAGGAGGGAAGGAGAAAAAAATTAAAGTATTTGTAACATAAAAGCTGTCCAAAGCAATTTCAACTTCTATCCTCCTCTGTAAGTTAAACACATTTGCATGGACTCTCTCCTATAAGGTGTGGTCCCCAGCTCTTTTGCTGCATAATCCTGCCTGCTGAGACACTAGGAAGTAGCCTAGAGTCACAAGGGTCAGCATTTTAGAAGTTACCCGAGCAGCAATTGGAGTCTTAGGTCATCTAGGGGCTTTTTGCTGGTGTCATATCAGAGAACAGGCAGAGGGAATGGGTCTCTTTCTTTTTTTTTTTTTTTTTTTTTTTAATTAGGATTTGGGTGAAGATTTACAGAGTAAATTCACTTTTCATACAACAGTTCACATATACTTTGTCTCATATCATTGACCAAAATTTACAATGCAGCAGCTCCCCTCCCACTTCCTCCCCATAGTTACCTCCTCTCAGTGTCCATCCCTTCATACTCTTCTGCACCCTGAGCTATCTCCCTGTGCATAAGCAGCCCTTCCTTCTCCCATGATTGTTCTCTCCAGGGCGTGTGTAGAATGGGTCTCTTTCTAAGGACTCTAATGTCTGTACCTCCTCAGAACAAAGATACTCTAATGATTCTGGGTTTTCCTTAGAAATGCACCCCTTCTGGAAGTGGACACCCTGGGAGAGTTGCTTAGCTCCTCAGGTGCACAGTCTTTAGGATTAAAGAAATGTTCTTTTGCCAATTTTGAAATATAGATGCTATAACTCAGTTTTTTTGTTTTGTTTAAGAAAATAAAAAACTGAATGGATGAAAAGTCATCTAATAGTCTTCAGTTTCCAGTAGGAAAACAGATGGTATAACACTTAAAGCAAGACAGAGACTGGCAAAACAGCATGTCTCAGTGGACATAGGACCCTCAAATTGAGATTTGCAGTCTCTTGTAAGGAATCCAACCACCTAACCCCTCAGATGATTTAAGAGCTTGAGCAGATGGACACTGACCATTTCCTGTCTTTGAGTAAGAATAAATGAACATTCAACATCTTTAGCTCAGGCCTTTTTAAACTCCTGCTCTTATCATTTGGTTAATAGGAAGACATTTGTTTAAGGACTGAGCAGCGCATCACGTAACCGAAACCAAACCAAACCAAACGCACTGCCATTGAGTCAGATCCAACTCATAGAAACCCCTCCTTGAGTTTCCGAGGTGGTGTCACTAAGGAAGTAGATTGCCCAACTTTCCTTCTGAGGAGTGGCTGGTGGGTTTGAACCATCAGCCTTCTGGTTAGCAGTCAAGTGCTTTAGGCACGACGCCACTTTGCTGACATGATAGGATGACCTTTCATCTTCACAGAATAAGATATTCCTGATACATCACAGCCCTATGTTTTGGCCTCTGTGTTTGAGTTGTTCTGTGGTAGGAATGTGTAACTGTGGCCCCATCTCCAAGACGATGCCAGAGCTTCTCTGTGGAACCCACATGTGGAGAAAGGGTTGATCATAACACACAATTCCTCAGAATCACTTCCCAACAAGGTGGCATCCCTTGCAGGATGGAGATTACTGGCCTTAAACAACCAGTTTAGTCTCTCCTTTATTTCTGCGATCACATTGAGGCATACAGATCCTTGTTTAGGGGAGCTCAGGGGCCACAATTGTTCTGGATAAACACATTCCCACTGGCTGAGGAGCCATTGACAAGTTGTTAATTTATCAACAATGAACCAGGTTATGGAGCAAGGTGAGAGGCACTCTTGGTCCTGCCAGGAGAGTATTCTGCCCATGAAATGACCATGCCTGTTGTATCACTGGACTTGACATCAGGAGAGGCAGCTGTTGCCCTCAGATAGCAGAACTAGCCAGGGCTATGAGCATAGGGAGAAGCTACCACTTGGCAATATGTTTAAGGGCAATGGGTATTTTGTTTTTCCCAAACACAATTTCTCATAGCTCAATAATTCTTCAAGACTTAGAAAACTGGATTCAGTACTAATTCACCCCGCCTGCCTCCCAAAGCAGAATGTTAGAAGGGAGATGCCTCCTTGAACTCACAGCTCACAGAACCATTACAGAATTTCAGATGACAATTATTGCTTTTTTATCTTGTTCATTTTTTTGGATTGCATGGTGGTATTGAGTGGGACCATTACACCAGGTTTTGCGTCATGGGGAGGAGGGAAAAACCTGGAGGTACTGCCAGTCCTGAGGCCACTTCTAACCCTAAGTATCATTCAATGACAGAATTGAAATCTTCAGGAAAGCTCATCTTAGCATCTTCTTCCCAATGATCAGGGAAAAAAAAAAAAAAAAAGTGGAGCAAAATGTTAAACGTTTATTTTTGTGTGTGTGTGTATATGTATATTGTATAGGATGAACTGAGTTGTAAATGGATTTCTTTTCTCTTAAACATATATGTCACTATTCTCTTCTAAGCTCTTTTCATGAACCCTTGTTTGAGCATATGTGTGTTGGGGTCTGAACTTTAATCATTGAACAGTCTTTAAAAAAATGTAGATATGATTATCGGGGACCTTTGTCTATAACTATTTCTTAGTTTCCTATAACCATTTCTATGGAAACTAAGGAAAACAGAGATGAGATTTGATTTTAAAAAAATACTGAATTCAAAATAAAGCCATTTTTAAAACAAATATAGGAAACCTTTTTCCTATTATTTTCCTTCTTAGTTTCTACATTGTTTAAATAAGGAAACAGGAAAGCATGGCTTTGTAGCAGCTGTAAAATGGTTTAGTGTCCTCTACATTTTCATCACCTTGAACAACAGCCTTAACACGGGAATCAGAGATATAATCCCTAAAAACAAATATCCCTGCTTTGGCTTCAAACTCAGTGCTTAATTCTCTGTGGTTTTTATAAGGTTTGTTAACCAAAAGCAGAAGGAGTGTACCATAATCCAAAATTTCCACATATTTAACATTCAAATGTTCTATTGCATTCAGATTTGCAAGTCTAATACTTAGTGTTTTTTGTTTTTGTTTTTGTTTTTGTTTTTAATGAACTATGTTTCAGTCTGTGTTTGGAGATAGTGCCCATATATTTTAGGAACTATGGAATTCTTTTCTTCCTTTTTAACTACCATCTGCAAGATGGTAGCAAGTATTTCCTTCCCATAGATTTTCCTGCTATTCCCCTGGGCTGAAGTTCTTTGTGCAGATTTGGTTTAAGCTTAAACAAAATCATGTGTGAGGCTTTGTTCTCTGATATTGGGTGTGATTAAATCATAATCACTTTATAAATCTCAATGAAAATGTAAGTACTTTAGTATATGTATTTGAAGTTTGTCTGACACTGAAATTATGGGATTTCTGTGCAAGATTCATTTTCATCACCTTATGCATAAATGTTTCATGCGTGTGGGGATAATAGGCTTGACCACTGTGCTGCTCCTTGGAGATTGGACAAACTTGTGTGGAGTGTCGGGTCAGCCTTTAAGAAGTAGCAGCTTTGTCTTCTTTGTACTTTTCTGTTGCCCACCTGTCCTAATAAATACCTGTTCCAATAATACACTTGTTGTAACT